TGCTTCCAAAGAGTCAAAGCGGAACCAATAGATATTTTTAATTTGGCAGAGGGTGAGTTTTTGGCATGGACAAATGCACAAATATGTGTATCAGAGGTGGAAATCACTTTAGGGGAGGATACCCACATAGTGCCTCAGATATCGAATCACTATCGATGTCAAGTAGATGGATCCTGGAAGGATACAAATATAACCTCAGGTTTGGGCTGGGTATATTTCCAAGGGGAAATCCCAGCTCTCTTAGGGGCAAAAGGATTAAGACAGAGGTGGTCGCCGATGCATTCAGAAATGGAAACACTAATTTGGGCGATGACATGCATGTTGGAGTGCGGAATGGACTGTCATGCTTTTGAGAATGACTGTTCTAACCTGGTGGATATTATGGACGGCTAAACCTGCACAGTTAGATTTGTTAAGGGTTGCAAGAGGATTGAGTCTTCTTGGTACGAAATCACTTGAACAAAAGGTTGAAGATGGCTCTTATTGCTGTTTTCGTTAAAGATTAAGAATACAAGAATTTCTGTAGAGTAAAGTTGCAGATCCACTTTCTCAAGGGAAATACATTGATATATATAGTAAACTAGGTCGGCTAGGTCAACCCTAGAATCTGCTGGGCTGCGCCGACCTGCCCGGCCCATCTTGACATGTCTTGGGCTTGGCCCGCCTTGTTGCGTTCTGGGCTTCACCTCGTTAACAGGCCTGCCTCGTGGGTTTCTTGGTTATGCCAGCCCATTTCTCTGCTGCATACTTATCCTTCCTGCCTGGTAGCGTCTCTGGTCTCACCAAGCTTGCCCTTTATGCACGGTTGCGCAATCCGTCTCACCAGATATGTCGCCTCGTCAGACACTGAATAGCTGGGTTCGTCCAGTCCTTTCTGACCCAGTTTCTAGACTTAACCATTTTCCTACCTTGATCTTACCGGGGTGGAATCCGACCCCCAAAGTTAGCCTCCCAGCTTGATAGTATCAGGTATGGTGATGCCAAAGTACGACTTGTGGCAAAGGTAAGATCAAAGTCGTGTCATATCTGCTTCCAAATGATTATCAGAAAACCGCGTCAACCTAAGCTCAGGCGATTATGCCAACCGAGCCCATATTGAACGTTGCCCTCCGAGGACCATGTGACACAGACATATTTCAACCTCGCCTCGTCACGTTTTCAAAAAAAAATTTTAACCCAATGGTCTTGTTTCGATAATGGGCTTTTGTAGCCCATGAATAAGTTTTTCGCGGTTACCGAGGCGAGTTGATGTTGTCAAGTTCTCCAAGTCTATATATAGCCCATTCCTCTCACAATCGTCAATCCTCCAAAATCTCTCTAAAAAGATAAAC